CGTAACGGGTTTATTTTTTTACCATTTTCTTATCAAGCACAATCAAAGCTCCATTAGTTTCGATAAAAAAAGAAAAGAAAAACGAACGCGGGAAAAAAGGATGGAAGGAAGGAAGGAAGGGAGGGAATAAAAAATAAAGTAAAAATAAAACACGAGAGAAAATTATTTCCTAAAACTGAGACGCTATTTCGATTATATTTTAAGACTTTATAATAATAATAATTATTATTATTATTATTAATACTGGAATATAATATAAGCACCGATATAATATTTTCCTTTTCCTCTTTCAAAACCCTCTTGAAAAAAAATTCCTTTTGCGAGTACATTCCGATTAGCGTCCATAGTTTTTTTTATATATTTTATTATATTTTATTTTAAATTTTTGCTATACATATATAAATACATATATGAATATATGAGAAAAAGAAGAAGTGGAAAAAGAAGAAGAAGAAGGAGAAGAAGAAGAAGAAGAGAAAGGAGAAAAAAAATAAAAAAGAAAAGAATTTAAACAAAAAAAATATATATATATGTATTAAATATTTGTTGCCAGATTACTTCTAAGTTAGCAAAAAAAATTTCATATGAAATGATTATATATATACATAGTATATAAATAAATACACACATACACACATATATATGTATATATACATATACATATATATATATGTATACATAGATATTAAATATTAAAAGTTAATTACAAAATGTAAGTTATACAGATAAATATAAATAATTATGCGCCTATAAGCGTCCTGTGAGGCGAACGTAAGCCAATAGATTCTAAGCAATAAATAAATTTAAAAAAAAACGTATAGGTATATAATATGTAATATAATATTTTGTTAATAACCTCTGGCGAAAATTCGTTAACATGGATAAAGAAAGAAAAAAAAAAGATAAAAAACACATTCTATCGTTAGTCTAATCGCCCGAATTTACTTATGTGCCTCTAAACGCGTAATCGCAGAACCAATCGTCTTGCTGTTTACAGTTTCAAGAGAAAGAGAAAGAGAGAGAGAGAGAGAGAGAAAACAAAAAATCATTCTTGATAATTAGTGTCGCACCATCTCTTTCGAATTAGAAGGCCTCCCTCCCCTTAAAAATATACCAGGACGATATATATAAATATATATGTTACTTTAAATATTAATATTAATAATAATAATAATAATAATAATAAATTATAATAAAATAAAAGATTCTTTTTAAATTATTACATGTATATATCATTGGAGACTCGTACGACGTCGCTTACGCGCTTTCATTTTTGGTCATTTGAATTATTATTATTATAATAATAATAATAATAATAATAAAAAGGCAGAAAGATGATAAATAAATATTGTAAACAAATTTTCGAAAGAATAACGGCTGAGAATGTGTATTCGCCAAAACGAGCAGACTTAAAATAATACATAACATATATATATATGTATGTATACATAAAACAAGTGTGTGAAATTTAAATATAAATAAATAAAGTTTAAAGTATATTTAAAAAATGTACAAGAATAAAAGCCACGAGGAGAAAAAGAAGAAGAAGGAGAAGAATAAAACGAAGATTATAAAGAAAAAAGAAATAAAAGAGAGAAAACAAATTTGTATTACGAGCTACGTACGTAAACTAATTAAAGTGCACGCAAATACGAGAGACAAGAAGATATACGAATAGGGTGACTTTAGCATAAACATAAAAAAGTAAGCAAAAAAGATAAAAAAGGAAAAATGAAAGAACGAATGTGAGAGAGAAAGGAAGAAAAAAAAATGCGAAAAAAGAATTAATGCGCGGATAAAAGCATACCAGAAGCGAGTGCACCGCTTCACCAACACACATACATAGTTACAAAAACATACTTACTACATAAACATACATGCATATGTATGTTTGTACACCCAGCAACGAGAAGAAAACTCGAAAAGGACTGGAGGCCTTTGCTACTCGGTGTACTGCATATATATTGTCGGTATATTTCCATAAATTATTTCATTGAAATTAAATTCCTCTTTTCTTGGTAATATCTCACAGTCCTAAGTTTCACTATATATTCATATGTATATTCATCTGTTACATAAGTCATTTATTTATGATGAACTATTGCTATAACACAACTGCAAATTCTTTTCATGATAAATATAATCATGATTTTGTAAATATGAATCAATTTATTGAACAAATATATCTCTTAGTATTATTATTATAATTATGAATGATGATGACGAGGATGATGGTGATTATTATTATTATTATTATTATTATTATTATTTTTATTTTTATTTTTATTTTTATTATTATTACTGATTGAGACAAAGCATTATTATTGTTCATTCTATCTCTATGTAAATATGTAATTGCCTAATGCGAATAAAACCAGAGGATATATCACTGCATAAATCACAATTTTCTTATTCCCAGACATACAAATATTCTTATATAATGATTATTGTATAATTAATATTATTTATTGCTTATTTAATTGACATATCATTCACATACTAAAATACATGACTTAAATGCAAAATCACACAATCAAGAAAGAAAAAAGCTATTGGTTTAATTTGAATATTGAAGATCCCAAACATTAAAAATTTCTTCCTCAGTCATAGGCCAGAGTTTCTCCAATAATGTCCAGCCAGTTTTTTGAGTAGTAAGAAGATATTTATTCTTAGGATCGTTTAAATAAGAATAAGCACCCATTACAAGACTCTGGCAGATCCTAGCACAAACACTGACTTTGAGAATTTTCTTCTCCAAGTAGGTCAATTTTCTAATACTTTGATACCCCTCGATCACGTGTTTGCATTCAGCAATGTCTTTACTTTGGAGTAACATGTAACAAATAGCTATAGCAAGTTCGAATATGAGACAAGTTTTTTGCGAATCACCGAAATCGATGATCGCAATAATGTCGGTCCCATCGTCGTTAATTAAAATATTTTGTTCGTTCAAATCACCGTGTATCATGCCTTGTTCGAGAATCGGTACGAATTTGAGGACATCATTTTCAAAAGTACGAATTACTGCGCTAGCCAATTCTCTTTGAGTTTCATCAGGCACAGCGTATACAAATGAATGAAGTTTCGGCACGGATATCAACATCCACATACTTCTGTGATGTTCATAAGCTGGGTGATAAAATTTGGAGAGTCTTGTGTCCAGATCGGCTGTTAAATGTCCAACCTTAAACAGCAATTCCTTGCTCAAATACTTTACACGACTCAATAATTGACCTGGTTGATATATGAATAGTCTTATCACGTAACTTTCCTCGGAATTGTTAATCTTCTCCGAAGAATAATATGCACCAGTTAAATTTTTAACAGGAATTGGGCATTTGAAATAACCCTTCAAAAATATCAACATTTCGGTTTGCGCTTCTATCACCTGAGTATTCCGGGAATCCAATAAATTTATGATTTTAAAAACATATCCGTGTTCACTGATTTCTGATATATAAGGATTATCATGTGATTTTGTACAATGTATGTGATAATTTCTATCATCATAAGCATTCAACTCATTGATGTCCGTCACTGTAATACCATAAATCTTGAATAAAAGTTCGATGGCTGTTTTTTCATTCGTATTTGGACGTATACGTTGACCAGGTGATAACAGCGTGTTAGTTTTTTCCATTTTGTTTGATCCTGTTATCAATGAATATAATCAGTGATATTAAACAATTTTTTTTTTATGTATTTAGATTATAAATATCTCGGTTATTTATGGTTTTATGGAAAAAACAGTCTATTTGAAAAATGATAAGATATGATTCTATTTCAAAGATCATATATTTGTAAATATTAAAGTAATATTTGTTTAAGTGAAATATGTTTTTTAATAAATTAATGTATGCAACGCAAAGTCTCTATAAAAAAAAGAAATCCATAAAACTATAAATTATGGAGATATTTAAGTGCTCTGATTTAAATGATACTCTCTATATATTATATTTATATATTGCTAAAGAAAAGTACTGTCACAGATTACATTTGCTTATAATATTCATTGGAAAAAAAAATTATTTTTTGTATGTTGCATCTATTTAATTTCTATAATTAATAAATCTAACCATAAGAAACGTAATTTATAAAAATCAATTAAATAAAAATTTGCACACCTTTTACAAATTTTTGTCATTATAGAAAAATTAAATCAGTACTTTTATTCGTCATTATATAAATATATACGTATCTGCATCCTTCATGTCAAGTATAATAGATCGATGAGCATCCAATGAAAAAACAATCGATTTATATATTACTTTCATCACTTCATAAAACAACATTGAAAGATAAAAGGTTGATGAACTCTCTACACAAATATCAATGCATAAGACAATTATAGTATCAAGATTTACTATACCTATAATTAAATATTAAAGAAATTATTTTCTCATTAAAAATAAAACATTAATTTTATATAAAAACCAATAAGAACGCACCTCGTATTCCACAAATATCGATATTATTTAACAACATATAATTTATCACTAGGAAATCGGTAATATTCGTGTTAAAAATATAAATATATGTATATGAACGATACAGTCAATACGACATCTTAATTCTTGAAAGGGAAGAAGTCGTTTAAAAATTTAAACGACAATCGTCTCTAACGCGGACGTGATTCATATTACAATACTGTGTATCATTGTCAGTCAACAAGAAAATGAGAGGGTACTACAAACCATGTCAACAACTTCTAGTCACATATCTCTTAATTGTACCTACAGAATTGTTTTTATCAGTCAAGAATTTTTTTAAATAAAAATTTCCGACCTTTTATTGTTTTTAGCTGATAAAATTGTAAATAAGAACATCAAAAATATAGAAAAAGAAAAATCTTAATAATTTAAAATCTTTGCTACAATTATGTTAATTATTTTGATTGTTAAATCAAATATTACTTTGATTATTTTTTTTTTTTCAACTTTATTGATATGATTTATTTAAATGTATTTGATTATTTCGCGTAATTCGATTGGTAGTCTGCGCATGCTCAATAAATTGCATGTTACATTCAAAATCACAAAAGTTTACCGCCCGAATTTGCCATTTCCGTTAGTTCCTAACCTATATCAATGGATTCATTATCGTGCACTTAGAATTATTATTTATTTAAAAAAAAGTATTTATATATATTTATTTGTGTATAAAAAAGAAGATAATAAGTTATATTTGCAATAGATTTCTTATCATCTTGAAGGTTTTTGTAAATTTTCAAAATGCCGACCATAGCCGTCAAACGAGATTTATTATTTAAAGCGCTTGGAGAAACATATTGTAAGAAAATTACTATAGTTGTTTACTTATCTCTTTTATATGATTTTTCTTTAATTAAGTAATTATTTAAAAATCATATGGCGGGCATTTAAATATTGTTTCATTACAAATATTTATGTTAAGTAATAATAGACAATTTTGCATCATTTGATTCTATGCATTGTTAATTGCATGAGGATTAAATAATATTTAGCTTTTAATTTAAATTAAGCAGTGATTATTTGATTGCAGCTGAAGAAGAATTTCAAAATGTTTGCTTCGAATTTGGTTTGGAATTAGACGATGTGGTAAGAATTTCAATCCACTGTTAATCTATTTAAAACTTTAAGCAACAAATTATTTTGTATGTGTTGTTCCTTTTTAGACTACAGAAAAACAAATGATAGCAAAGGAACAAGGTTCTGAGCAAAGTGTTGGTGCATCAGAAGAAATTATTTATAAAATTGATATTCCAGCTAACAGATATGATTTGTTATCTTTAGAAGGTCTTGTAACAGGGTTACTAGTATTTTTAAATAAGTAAGTACAAGTTCATCAAATTTGTTGGGATTGGTCTTAAATCAAATAAAAAGAATGATTAACTTTATTCCTTTTATAGAAGTCATGTGCCACGCTACGAAATAATAAAACCAGCAACACCAGAAGAAATTGTAATGAAAAAAGAAGTAAGTATATAAACTATTAAAAATTACTAATAATGAATAAAATGAAAAATTCTACAGTTACATATTAAAACATTCTAGTGTTTACAAGTAAGAGAACATTTAGTCGCTGCCATTTTACGTGGTATTACTTTTACCCAAGATTCTTACAACAGTTTCATTGATCTTCAAGACAAATTACATCAAACTATAGGAAGAAAACGAAGTATTGTATCAATTGGTACACATGATTTAAACACTATTAAAGGACCATTTGTATATGATGCGAAACTACCAAATTCTATTCGTTTTAAACCACTTAATCAAACAAAAGAATATACTGGGACAGAAATAATGGAGTTATATGCGGTAAATATATTTTGATAAAAAAAAAGAAAGAAAAAGAAAGAGAATTAAGAATTATTATAAAATATTCTTATTTTTTTAGAATCATGTGCAACTTAAACAGTATTTACCAATTATTAAAGATAGTCCTGTATATCCTATAATATATGATAGTAATGGTGTTGTATTATCATTGCCACCCATAATTAATGGGGATCATTCGAAAATCACTCTCAATACTAAAAATGTATTTATAGAATGCACTGCAACTGACCTCAATAAGGTATATACATATGTTTAATTTGATTCAATATAATATGCAAAATTTAAATAAATGTTAATAAATTTTTCAGGCAAAGATTACAGTAGATACTATAGTTTGTGCATTCAGTGTATACTGTGCAAAGAAGTATACAGTGGAAAATGTAAAAGTAGTTTATCCAGATAATAAAATATATTATCATCCAGAGTTGAGCTATCGTACAGAAGAAATAAATAGTGAAAAAGCAATAAATTATATTGGAATCAAGTAAGTTTAATTAAATTGTATGATTATTAATTACTCTACTAAACTATAATAATATAATTTAGAAAAACTCCAGAAGAGATAGCGAAATTACTTTCAAAAATGTCGTTAGAAGCAACGGTAAAAGAAAATGATAATATTGTTGTCAAAATACCTCCAACGAGAAGAGATGTTTTACATCCGTGTGATATTTACGAAGATATAGCCATTGCTCATGGATATAATAACATAGAAAAAAAATTTCCAGAATTAAATACTATTGCTGTAGAAGTAAGTAATACACATACGAAATAATAAATGTTGATCGTTTACCTAACACATGAAAAAATATTTTATGTATAAATATATATTTTTTAATTTAAGTTCCCGCTTAATAAATTATCAGATCAATTACGTGAAGAATTGTCACGTGCAAGTTTCACTGAAACATTAACGTTTTCATTGGTAAGTTAAATGTAGAAAAACTAATATCATAGATGATTAAATATAGAAAAAATGATAATTAAAAGTATATAACGTTACAGTGTTCGAGGGATGATATTTCAGAAAAATTAGGTTATAAAATAGAGAATGTACCAGCCGTTCATGTAACTAATCCAAAAACCTTAGAGTTTCAGGTAAAATATTTGGAATCATGTATAAAAGCAAATAAATATATCTTTATTGTATCTATTATTTGTTATTACAGGTTGCACGTACAACTTTATTACCAGGATTATTGAAAACTATAGCCGGAAATAAAAAGATGCCGTTACCTTTGAAATTATTTGAAATTTCTGATGTTGTTTTACTCGATGCTACAGCAGATGTTGGTGCACGTAACAAAAGATATTTGTGTGCGGTGTATTATAATAAAACTGGAGGTTTTGAGATAATCCATGGTTTACTGGATAGAATTATGCAAGTACTAGAAGTACCGAGGAGCACAGATAAAAAAGATACTGGATATTATTTACGTGCAGCAGATGGTAAAACTAACTTTTAATAATTAATCTCTTATTTAAAAATATCTTTAATGTAATATGTGACATCTTACAGATCCAACTTTCTTTCCACAAAGATATGCAGAAGTAATATATAACAACAAAGTTATTGGCAAAATAGGAATTTTACATCCAGATGTACTTAGTAAATTTGAGTTAAATTTACCATGCTCTGCATTAGAAATTGACGTAGAACCATTTCTATGAAATGTTAAATAATGTCTGTACTTATAAATAGTACATATACAACAAGTAAAACGAAAAAAATACAAAAATTACAAAGTAATTTACATACCTGATACTAATTAATACTGTTTTGTATTTTCACTGTGATCTACAATTAACTGCAACAATAAAATGCGTTTTTAAACACTTTAAACTAATGCGACTGACTCCATGACAAACAAACATAACCTTGGAAAAGTACGTATAAAACTAAATAACTACATAATTTCATCTTAGATTATTCACTTAATTTTATTTTATGAACAATTTCACAAATTATAAATAATATTTCATAATAATAATATAAATGATTAAAAATAGTTAATTGAATTTTTCTGATTATATTTTGCTCAATATTTAATTTTGATAGGGTTAAACTGTGGATTAACTATTTTAACATGTTTCATAAACGTGTTTTATATTTAACATATTACAAATGATTGAATTTAAATGATTAAAAATTCTTTTTCATACATAGTATTAAAATAAATAAAATTTATTTATTTATATAACAAAAAATATTACTATGGAAAAAGACAAAATTTGAAAAAATTTATTTAGTAAAACATAACAGTTGGTAGGCCTAGTTTGGTAAAATATCCGGTGATATTTTCAAATTGATTAATTTAACGTATACCACAAAATAATTACGTGCTTTCTTCGTGATCTTATGTATATAATATATTGTTTTTAGTTGAAAAATATGATTAATGCTTCACGTAACTTCATTAATTATGAAAAAGGTAAGTTTATTGACAAATGAAAATATTCTTCCATTTTATTTTTAATTAAAGTGTTTTAAAACATTTGCTTGTACGTAATGTTGTGTTGTGTATTTATAGGTAATAACAAGTGTTATGATATTTTATTATATTAATTAACATTAATTCTTTTTATCCTATTATAATGTTTATAATTATTTTAACATTTATTTATGCCTGAAGTAATAAAATAAAATTGTTACGATTATAATAAATATTTACTTCAATTTGTGAAAATGACAAGCAGGTTGATAATAGTTTGACTTAGCATACACACAAACATTATTATTATTATTATGTCATAGCATACATAATAAAATATGTTAGAAATAAATATTATAAAAATATATTTTATTATAAATAGATAAGTGCATCATTCAAGATAAATCACTCAAAGGAATTATTGAAGGAAATGATGTTCGCAAAACAGCTGAAGAAATGGATGAACAAAGAGAAAAGTTACTTGCTTATGAATACCTTTGTCATTTAGAGGAAGCAAAAAAGTAATTTATTATAATGTCCGTTTAAATTAAAATATTATGCATATAATAAAAGATTAATAATAAATTGTAATACTGTTAAAATTATATTTTATTTTTATTTCTTTAGATGGATAGAAGCATGTATAAAAGAAAACCTTCCTCCAACAACAGAATTAGAAGAAAATTTAAGAAATGGTGTTTATTTGGCAAAATTAGGTCATTTTATAGCTCCAGAAATTTTTCCTTCACACAAAATTTATGATTCTGATCAGCGAAAATATCAACTTAATGGATTACAGTTTAGACATACTGATAATATTAATTATTTTTTAAAATGTCTTCAGTCGATGGAGTTACCTTTTGTATGTTAACATTTGTATTTATAAATGTTGAATGTTTAATATAAAACAAATGAATGTATTTATATTATTTATATTTTTTCAGACATTCCAACCTGAAACGACAGACATATACGACAAGAAGAATATGCCACGTTTAATATATTGTATACATGCACTTAGTACACACTTATTTAAACTAGGAAAAGCACCTAAAATTCAAGACTTGTATGGAAAAGTTAATTTTACAGATGAAGAAATTGATGCTGTCAGTAAAGAATTACGCAAATATGGTATTCAAATGCCATCGTTTCAAAAAATTGGTGGCCTATTAACTAATAGTATAGCTGTGGATATAGCTGCGCTTCATGCAGCAGTAATAGCTATAAACGAAGCTATTACTAAAAAAGTAAGATTGAAAATTATCATATAAGTGTATTGGACTTTTAAACGAATTGATTTTTTTTATCTATTATTAAGTTGTGAATATAAAATTCAAGGATCAAGTTGTGATGTTAAATACTTTACAAGAGAAGGCAGCACAGTTAAATAACATTTATATTGAATATATTCAAGATTATTTGGAAGCTTTGTATGACGCACAAGATAGTAAAAGACAAGCTGCGCTTAACAGAGTAAGTTATATTCAAAAATATTTTAAATACTAATAAAATTACAATATTGATGTAATTATGAAATTTATGTTACATTATATTTTTGTATAGTCTTTGAATGACAGTTATGTACCAGATGCATACGATGAACTATTAACTCAGGCAGAAATTCAGGGTCATATCAATCATGTGAATGGTATGCTTACAATTTGTTTAAATATGTTTTTTTTTTTGTATATATAACATCATATGATATTAACTAATGATCATTAAATTGTTGCAAATAGTTCAACAAGCAGGAAAAAATATTATTGAATCAATTCAAATGAATAATGACAGATTAATCATAGCCTTAGAAGCACCTGCATTACATTTACAGGTAAGTTACAGAAATATTTTTTATTCAAATCATTAAAATATTTAGTTATTTTAATTTATTTTTTAGAATATCACACCTAGCAATGTAGAAGTTTATAAGGAAAAATTATCGCAATTAATAGAAAGTCCCGAATGGTATAATAATTATTCTGAAATGAATCATCATTGGCAATATTTACTGCAAAATACTATTGACTCAGCGAATGATGAAGTACTTAAAATTCAAAAACGTTAGTTATCTCCACCGATATTTATATATATTTAAATGAATATTAGAAAAGTATACGCACGTTATATTTATCTTTATATTTCAGGTAAAGAAGCTTTAAGATTTTTAAATGATACTTTACTGGATGGTGGAGTAACCGAATTTTATAAGGCTTTAAAAAATCCATATCTTGAATTAACTAATGTAGATAAATTTGCTCTGCCTTTATATTATGAAGAAATGAAAATTGATCTTATGGAATGTGGGACGGATCTTACTTATAATGATATAGTTGTTAGTATTAAAGTATTGTCAGCAATAGCAGCAATTTCTAAAGCAGTGGATCAAGGAGATGCATATGCAGTTTACGATGCTCTCAAAAATCCTGATGCGCATGTTATGAACTTAATTGATGAATATAAGATGAAATATTTTTGTGCGTTACAAAATTTACGCCTTAAAAAACTGTCCAAACGCCAAATAGTATGTAATATATTAACGTATAATGATATACAAGACTGTATCGAAATTTCCAATGAAGAGTATAAACAAGATAACAAAGTAATGCAAGCATTGACACAATTGAATGTAGCCTTGAAAGATAATAATCCATATACTGTAACTGAAGCTTTTGCTGAATTAGAATTAATGTTACTTTGGTCGTTAACTTCTATGGATCCTACACATGTTTTCAAATTGCTAAAAAATATTGCTTCAAAGAAAACGACCTATGATCGTAACTTATGTTTGTCAGAGGTGGAGGAAGCAATGAAGCGTATCGAAATAGCAGACATCGAAATTGAACGTTCAATCAAATGGCATGCTACAATTAACGATTGTCTGGATCAGAATAATCTGGATGATTTTATGCGACAGGATTTATGTCATGAGGTATATATGACGAAATGGGTAGAACAAGATTCGGATGAAATTAAAAAGAATAAGTTTAATATATTTTGTAATTTAAGAAAAGTAAAGCTTGAAAAATATCATTGCCCGTTTATTACATACATCTCTAGTGAAAATATCGAAGCATATTTGAATATAAAAGAACGTACAGTCACATGGGATTTACCTGAAGATTTTTCAGAAACTCATTACGTCACTGAGAATGATGTTAAATATATACAAAAATATTATCCGATGGAAGATCTGCATAACTACTTAACGATTAAAGAATGTATGGTTATTAGGATGCAAGCTCGAATTCGAGGATATTTATTACGTAAGAAATATAAATTAAATTATTTCAATAATAAAAAAATAATAAAAATACAAGCATGGTGGAGAGGTATATTGCAACGGAAACGTTATATTGCATTACTCAATCAAATACACGCAAAAAATGATTTATTCTCTTATCAAAATAATACCACTAAACTAATGAAGACCGAATATATTGATGTGCTAGACATATATCGAGATTATGAACCACAAATCATAAAGATCCAGGCTCTTTGGCGTGGACGAGCAGCTAGAAGAGCTTTCAATTCATTATTACATATGGAAAAACCGCCGTTTCCTGTGGTCAGACATTTTTCTGCAATTTTAAATTTCAACGCCCAAGATTACGACAAGGATTTACAATTACAGCATTTAAAACACGAAGTCGTTCAAATTATAAGACACAATCAGAACTTGTCGCAACAATTAGACAGTATGGATATTAAAATTGGTTTATTGATTCAAAATAGAATAACTTTGCAGGATGTAGTTACGCATGGTAAAAGTTTAGAAAATCTTGCAAAACAGAGAAATAATAAGGATAATAAAAGTTCGGGAATACCGGATAATTTGTCAACACAAAAAGGATTGAAATCGTTGACTAAGGAAGGCCGTAAAAAACTCGAGGGTTATCAACATTTATTTTACACGTTACAAACTAATCCATCATATTTATCTAAATTATTATTTTTATTGCCGCAAAGTAAAACAAACAAATTTTTACAAAATGTCATTTTGACATTATTCAATTTTGGATCAAATATCAGAGAAGAATATTTGTTATTGAAGCTTTTTGGCAGCGCGTTACAAGAAGAAATAAGATGTAAATTTCAAAAACCGTCTGAAGTTGTTACTGGAGATCCGTTGGTATTAAAATTAGTAGTGAATTATGCCAGACAATTAAATGGTCAACGAGCATTAAGACAAATAGTTGGACCCTTAATAGAAAATATTATATCTGACAAGACTCTGGCGATAGAAACAAATCCTGTGGATGCTTACAAATGTTGGAGAAATCAATTGGAAATGGAAACTGGTGAAGCTCAAAGTCTTCCATATACCGTATCCCATCAAGAAGCATTAACTTACGAACCCGTAAGAAAAAGATTGAACGAAAGTGTTAATGTGCTAAGAAAAACTGCGTTAGAATTTTTAACAAAAATAACCGAATCCCGTAATTTAATACCTTATGGAATGTTGTACGTGGCCAAAGTATTACACGATACGTTAAGAGAAAAATTTCCAAATAGTCCAGAAAAAGATATTTTAAAAGTAGTTGGAAATTTAATTTATTATCAATTTATAAATGCTGCCATTGTAGCACCAGATGCTTTTGATATCATTACATTACCAGTTGATAGGACGCTATTGAACGATCAAAGAAGAAATTTAGCTTGCATAGCCAAAATATTACAATTTGCTGCTTCCAAAAAAGGAGTAAATATTTTTTATTAAATTAATGTAATATAAATCATTTTTTATGTGCTTACTACACATATTAAATATTTCAGTTTGGTGAAGAAGCTACGCACTTGAATTGTTTGAATCCATTTATTATCGAGTGTCACGAAAAATTTAAAAAATTTTTCCGATATTGTTGCCAAATAGAAGACCTAGAAGAACATTTTAGTATTCACGAATACACAGAAGCTACGCTCATACATAAACCAGAAATTTATATTTCTTTACAGGCAAGTAATAAATAAATAAATAAATAATAAATTATTAAAATATAATAACAAAATAATATATATGTGTTTCAGGAAATTTGTGATACACATTGTCTAATGTTAAAATATCAAGATCAAATAGCACCTGATCCATTAGATCCGCTTCACGATTTATTAGATGATTTAGAATCTGCACCAACCGTAGCATCGTTATTAGGAATATGTAAGAATAATGTAATGAATGAATTAAAAAGAAAAGAAAAACATTTAAAGAATTAATTTATATTTAAATTAATTTAATATTTTTTTGGAATGATTTAGCTGATACGATGTGCGAAGGAAATTTGGCGAGACTTGGCAAAACAGAAGTGTGTTTGGTGCTTACAAATAAATTTGAGATTCCAGAAGATGAAGATACGAATTTAAGTAAATTATTTATTAAAACCAAAGAGCTTTTGGTTTCTGTGCTTCAATTTTTAAAGGGTCCGACGTTAGTCGATGCTTTAGCAATTACATCTTCTCCTGTAGACAACAAAATATTGAACACTTCAAAATACAATTCCGTGTCGCCTATGTTGAACATTAGTCATAAAAGGTAATAATTTTGGTTTGTTTATTTTTTGATTATTTTTCGATGAAATAAAACTAACTTTTTCTTTTTTATTTATAGCTCATCATTGAATGATTGCAAGTTTCAATTATCCGTATATCTGAATAAATTACGACTTGGAGGATGGGTCAGTAAGGAGGACGGTTATCAAAATATTATAACGGCAGTTGCAAAAGATCTTTGTAATAAGGGAAAATATAGAATCATAAGAAATAACGAACTTAAAACTTTACATATAACTAAACGGAGTTTAGAAGAGAAAACCAGATATTATCAAGAACAAGTCGAATATTACAATAAATATATACAAAAGTGTTTAGAAAATTTACATACTGGAAAAGGGTATATGCATATATTACATATAAATATAAATATTTTTATATTGTCACAGTATTAATAGTTAGATTTTTATTGAACTTAAAATATTAAAAAGTAATTAATGTTGCAGATCCATTCGAGCATTACACATGGCACAAAAAGATCATAGAAAATTAAAATCCAAAATGACATTAAAGTATTCAGCTGCGAAATTGCAAGAGAAAGGTGTACTCTTAGAAGTAGACGGTCTTCCACTTTCTCAATGGAAAAACGTCCTTTTTGAAATAAGTCCTACAGAATATAATGGCCTTTTTACTGTACATTGTAAATTTATGGGAGTAAACATGGAAAAGGTAAACATCGATATTCAAAAATTACTTGAATTACAATACGAAGGTTCAGCGATAATGGACATGTTTGGAAAAGCCAAAGTCAATGTAAATTTACTTTTGTATTTGTTGAATAAGAAATTTTATGGTAAAATCTAAGAAGTTTGGATAAACAAAGTATAATGAAGAAGTAAATGATTTTATAATTTGACGCATTGTTTTTTTTTCTTTTTTTTTTATAAAAATTACATGCTATACATAAATTTAAAAAAAAAACAAACAAATGAAATCAATTTTATACACATTTCTTAATAAAAACATTACCATAATTTTTTTGAATCTAATTAAAACAAATTAAAAAATAATTAAACAACTGTCATGGAAAACTAATTCAACGCGTTCTATCTTTTCTACTTATTAGCAAACTAGGTACTAAATACTAGAAATTATACACACACTTATACATTTCTTATTATAGCTTTTATACTTTTCCTATTCAAAATGCAACACGCCCGATTATATACAGCCATATAACACTATCTACAGCTTCGTACCATAATATTACATACATTATAAACTATTTTTTTACAAAAATATACATAAATGTACATAGGCAACACTCAACTATAATAAATTAAGCAGCCTCTATACATAATTAAGAGATCAAAACATTTTTGTATCATGTTAAAAAGAAAAATTTGTTTTATATAATAAATAATTGATAAAATATAATATAATATAATATGATAAAAGTAAAATAATAATACAATAATTAATAATATAAACAATAAGTTTTTATAAATATTTTATAAGTTTTTATAAAAATTTAATAAAAAAAATTTATATGCAATTCGTTTAAAAAAGTTGTTTTATTATGTTTTTCTAACAGTATTGCTGAACATAATAAACTCCATCAATTTCGTATAAAGTAAAGGTTTGCAGTGACTATTCGAAAACTTCTATCTCACAGTCAAAATATTATAATTTAATAATAATTTTCTTAAAGCTTATGGCGCGCTAAGCATTTTATATATAATAATTTATACATATAATTTAAACGGAATAACCTTTCAGGAATTTTCTCGTTATACAAGTGTCACACATGTTTCACATGTAACATAACCTCGAAAGTTAGTTAAGTTGTGTTTACAAGAAGGTTGTGTGAATATTTATGGCGTAAACAAACATTGATTTATTAAACTTGTTAAATAAAATTATTAAATAATTTAAAACAAAATGAAAACGTCACGACATAAAAAAGCCAGGAAACATTTAGCCTTTTACATAAACAATTTTAAATTTAGACAACCTTATCAAATACTCATCGATGGAACATTTGCATTTGCTGCATTAGAGGTTAGTATATTGCTTAGATCAATTATTATTACATAGAGCTATTGTACAAAAATATTTATAGATTATAAATAATTTTATTCTTTTTTAATATACTTGTTTTAGAACAAATTCAATATCCAAGATCAATTACCTAAATATTTTCAAGCAGAAACTAAATTATTGACTACGGCATGCATCATTTTAGAAGTAGAAAAATTAGGTTCCTTTTCAAAAGGTATTGTAGGTGCAATGCATATAATTAAACGATATGCAGTTCATAGATGTGGACACGAGAAGAAACCGATACCAGGTTCTAAATGTTTGAGGTCTATGATAGGAAAAGATAATTCTTCTAGGTGAGTTTAACATTTTTGTTATTTACATCAAATGTTAGAAAGTAAATAATATGTTAATATTTATTGCATAGATATATTATTGCAACACAAGATCGTGATTTACAAAATGAATTGAGACAAATTCCTGGTGTGCCTTTACTATATCTCCATGGTAAAGCACCTACTTTGGAAACTCCTTCGGAGGCGAGTCAAAAATATGCTGAAAGCATTAAAAGTAATTTAGGAATGAGTACATGGGAGAAAGAGAATATGCAGACGTTAAAGAAAGAGGCAGGTTTAATAAAGGAAATTGAACCAAAAAGAAAAAAGAAGCATAAGAAGGGTGGTCCAAATCCACTTAGCTGTTTAAAAAAGAAGAAGAAAGTACAAACGGTACCAACAGTATCGAATAAACCAAAATCTGGAAAAATTAAGAAAAAGAAAAAAATTAAAATAGCGGCACATGTTAAAGAAGCTCTAGTCGCTGAACTTTCAAATAAAACTCAATCATCGTGACAGTATTTACCTCATATCAATAACGGTAACGATTGATCTAGCATATCATTTTCTTATTTGTTTTTTCTTTTTTTGTTTTTATTCATAATACAATATCTCAATTTATTTTATTAAGAATAAAATATTTGTTTTAACTTTGGCTGGTTCAAGCTGGAACACATCTATCATTTTGCTGTCGATGACATAAAAAATGTACTCGTTAACAGTCAGTTAGTTTTAAAATACATTATACACGCTATTTATAAATCGTTCTTTTTATAGAAATACATCCAAATATAATATACGCATGAAGTATAATACCAAAATATGGCAATAATTTGTTTTTAATTGATTCTCTATTTAACAAACATGATAAAAGCCCGAGATTTATTTACTTAGAAGCATGGAAGATTATTGCTTATGTATATAATGTCATGCTGTCTATGATACACAATTGATGTAAAAAAATGATCAAAAATACATTATGATTTTCAACATTCCTTACAATATTTTCATGTGTAACTTGCCGTATATTTATATTTATATATAATTTGTAATATTATGAAAATATTAGTTATTGTATTCTATGTTGGAAAGATTAGAAATGTTGATAAAATTCTTTGAAAAACAAATTATACAGTAATTCCTACGTATAGTATTAAAATTACTATCTTCTAAATTAGGACTTCTCAAACTTTTCCACTTGGTGAGGCTTTTCATACTTTGAGAAGCCCCTGTCCTAACGTATGTATATATAAGGAATAATATTTGGAATTAGGAAATATTTGCGTCGTAGAAAGAATATATATGTAAATAAGATATAAAGACGATCGTCAGAAAATGAATGTAAACGCTATATTATGTACATATTTTCTTAAAAGATACAAGAAACATTTTCAACATTATATGGAACATTGACATGCGTGTACATGCAAATGATATAATGTATTTCAAAATGTTATAAACTTTGAAAAATTATTAAAAAGAAAATGTCTAGGTATTTATAAATCTAATGAATAATGTATGGTGTTTTTTTGTTGTAATTATATATATACACATACATATACATATATATGTATATATATATAATTTTTTAGCTTTATGAAAATTGCATTATAATTTATGTACCTTTTTTTTTTCTTTCACTTTAGTGTTGCATTATTTTCTCTCTTATAATCTAAATATAACGTGAAACATTTTGATTCACACTAGATGAAATAAAAATGGTTAGTTCAAGGTAATAGTAATAGTAGTATAATATGTACATTATAAAAAGAAAAGAAATAAGTAAATTTAGAGAAAAATAACATTAAAATAATGGCAATGCAAAGTACACGTGTATCCTACAAAAAGAGCTAAAGATAATACAAATTAAAAAAAATGTCTAGAATTGTTTTAAATTTATAAGTATATCCAAAATACATTAGATCACGTCATGAATTGAATGCACTTAAGTGCACTGTCTATATATATTTATATATAATTATTAGCCAATTAAAAATTTTTTCGAACATTATTATAAGTAACAAATGTAAAATAGGTTATTACTCTTATTTACTTCTTTTTTTTTTTATACAATTTCTGTTGACATTGAAATCTTCTTTTTTGTTGTATAAAATTCACATGAAAGTAAAAGAAATTAATTGGAAAAGAAATAATGAAATTATTGTAAACAAAAAAATACTTTTTTCAATGTAAATCAAAATTATTGAGACGAAATGAAATATTTTTCAGAAGTTTTTTTTTTTAAATCTATTTCTATATATATGAAAATACTAACACGAAAATATTTTAATCGTGATATTTTACAAAGTACGGTACTTTGCAAATAATAAAAAACAATATTTCAGTAAAATAATAAAATTACAACGTACATTAATACAATATTTCTTTCACATTTCATGTGAACTAATGTCAGTCTTAAACTCGCATTGGCGATATTGCTTTTAGACTAACACGTCTTTCTCTTCTTCTCCTTTTTTTTCTCTCTTTGACAAAAGATAAGAACCTTATATTATACAAAAATGTGCTTATTGAAGACACATTGTAGGTCAAGGATGTTGAGCTAATAAAGCGCGTGCTGCCATGGCTAACATTTTCATTTGTCGAGATGATCGGTGATTTGGATTTGCTGTTAGAAAAGCAGCTAATTGACTTTGTAAAGTCATTAACACAGTACCCATGTGCTCTCGAGTTACTGGATCAGTTGGATCTAAATTCAATATAGCTTCTTCTAACCACCTATGAAAAAAAAAAATTATTTCATTTTAAAATTTACATATTTTATTGCAGTGTTATTTTATACGAAAAAGAAGAAAAAAATCATATTTAAATTTGTAAAAATACCTGTGTTTAAGTTCTGTACGATGTCCTAAATCGGCAGAGAGTTGTTGGACTAATGATAATAATACCGGTTGCTGTAAAATACATCTAGTGCCTTGACCCTGAGGTCCAAGAGGAGAAGAAAATACTCTCGATGGTTCAGTCCTTTCACAAGCTAAAACGACTAATCCCAAATCGCTAGCACTTAAAGCTTGTTGGAAAGCAGCATTTAATTGACCTCTTTGCAGTAAAGATATAACTCGAGCTTGTGCATCGGCAACTGCAGGTACAGATATTGTTGCAGGAGTCGTGGCCCGTGAACTGTGTATGTAAACGAGATAATATATCTCTATCATATATAATGAACATTATTAAATAATAATATGAAAATAATAATTGAAATAACCGTACCGTACACCAGAAATTTCGTTCAATTGTTGATTTAAGTTTTCCCTGATCGATTCTCGAACTATACGTACAGTATCCTCTTGCATGGAAGATATTCCTCGAGAAAATTCATTTCGAATTTCTTCGCGTACTGACAATGAAAGTGCTTCGGTTTGTTGTTCATTTCGTTGTTTATATTGCTTATCCATAATAGAATCAACGTTTTGAAGGTCTGTAGAAAAACAAAATAAACGAATAATATTAACATTGACGTTTCAAATTTAAAGATAAATTTGTCGTTAGAAATAATTAAAAAAATACAATAGCTTACATTCGCGGGTACCTTTGACGAATGCATCTTGCACTTGCTTGAACATATTTTGGCAAGCTTTTTCCATGCCAGGTAAAAGGATATTTGTGAAAGTGTCTTTGAAAGCTACATCAAGTGCTGGTTTAGCTGCATTGGCTGCAGCTAATGCCAATGTATCCTTTATATGTGTACTATTAATCAATTTAGTTAAATTATCTTTCAACAAATCGTCCATGCGAGTTACGTCCAAATGTAGTTGATGTTTTAATGGTTCAATCGTTTCTTCAACTATTCGCGGTAAAATATTTTCTATTTTATCTTTAATCGTTGTTTCAAGTGAATTTAATAATTCACGTTGACGATTCATTTGTCCATACAATTGTTCTAACGTTGCTGTTTGTTGTTGCGATGCTCTTGCTAAAACCGATTCAATACGCGTAGATATCGGTGATTCCTGTCTTAATCTCGTTACTTCATTTTTTAATTCTCTAATTTCTTGATACTGTTCTTGAATAGTTTCCAAAATGGAATCCATTTTATTAGTTATTTCAGTAACGTTAATATTATTTGCAGTTTTTTGCCATTGAGTCTCTTGTTCGCACGAAATGTGAGTTGTCGAATTAGTTTCATCCTTAGTCGTATTTCTTTGTGTAGTATTATTATCTTCTTTATTTTGATATTCTTCAGAGTCTGACTTCATGGCATGTACATTGACATCTTTTAATAAAACCATTGGAATATTAGGCCAATCTTCTCCTGTATTCGGCGCTGCTTCCTCTTTATTTTCAGAATCGGCTTCTTCCTCTTCTTGTTTACTAAGTGATAGAATTTCTCTGACTTCTCTACTAGGACTACTACCACCACTAGCTGGCGCATGCTCCTCTAATTCGCTCGTCGCAAGGGGCGGATCCGAAGCGTTCAACGCTTGTACTGCCTGCGCCAGAGAGGGGCTAACGGATATCACGTCTTCAAGTTCAGGACTAGGAGGACTTGATTCTGTATCGTTGTTTTCTTTCTTTGCCGGTGAACTAAATGCATCCGGTGTCATTAAATTTAATCCTGTATTATGATTATTCGTGTTTTCGATCGTAGCCGATAACATACGATCTTCTTCGCTATTTTCTCCTGAAATTCCATTGTGATTAACAATCCCAATATCTGGTAAATCTTCCGAATAATCCAAGGAATCATGAATGAGCATATCCATGAGACAATTGCCATTCACTCGCGAGGCGGGCTTAAATGCTATATGACATTCTTGCAGTGACTTAGGTTGAACTAGATACATTCTTATAACAAGTTGTTCCTCCGTTTCTTCCTCGCACTGAGTAAGATCTTCCAATGATTCTCCCATTGGACGCATTTTTCTTTGACCAGCATCAACTATTCCAAAACTCAAGATCGGATAAGGCAGAAGAAATTCTGATATCGTACTTACGCACGCTAATGCCTCTCCACTGACTTTACAAATACTCAATATATACAGAACTTTATTATATATGTCAGACAACAAAAGATAACCGGCGCTAAGATCTAAGCCTGCTTTCAATACAGGAACTTTTCCAGTCGAAGGAGTTGGCGCAAATGTAATAGTTTGCAAACACGTCCATAATTCGCACGACCAAACTTTCAATTCTGAATTATTGTCACAGCCAGTAATAGCGAATCTCCAGAATTGTACGCTAAGTAAAAAATTAAAGTTGTATATGGATAGAATAAAACGTATTATTGAGAATAAAATAAAATTGCTTACTCAGGTTGACAAGTTTGATGATCGTCGAGGAAAAATAGACAAGAAATGGGACGTCCACCGTGTGGTTGCCATTTATGTAAACAATGCGGTTGAGTCGTGCCATGAGAATTACCGTGCATATATACCTGGAAGAACTTGACTTCTCCATCAAGACTGGCTGTAGCTAAGGCGGTACCATCGGGACTAAACGTTGCCTCGATGATCATCCCTGAGTGCTGATTAATTTCTATCATGCCGCCGCTTTCTTTTGCAGCTGGATCAGTTGCCTATTATTCATTTAAGAGTTCGATTTTCTGTCTAAGGTAATATTCAGACGGCATAATATACAGATGAAATACACAATCACCTCTATAGATCTAAATCTAGCTGCAACATTGGCAACCGACCATAGCTCTGCTTTAGAACCCCTTGTTAGTACCAATAGTTTAGATACTGCATCACCATCCGATGGATCATCTTCGGGAATATAAGGACACCAAATAACACGATGACTAGTAGGAGATGATTCTTCAGCATCAACTTGTAATACTAAGTTACATAATAGTTCGGATGGTGTTGATTCAATAGTATGTATAAAGAGGTTTCCTGAGTAGTCGACGCAGGCTAAAATAGCATTTGACACATGAGCAAAAGCTAGATCTTGTATAGCCCCACGCATTCCTCTTAATAACGCTCTTTGTTCTAATTCTTTATATACAACCCGTACTACTCCACCTCCAGTTCCAACTAAAAAGAAATGTATAATATGAAATAAAAGTAAGCAAAGTGTAAACTACATTCATGGTAAAATTTCATTACCTTTGATACCGTAAGCTAAATATTTTCCAGACATATGAACAGCCAATAATTGACCGGTATAAAAATTATGTTCCCAAGTAAAGTCAACGATATTTTTTAATTTAACTTTGGAACTTCCATGATCGTGGCCACCCGATGATGGAATGATTGTTACATTTTGACTATACAATTCTACCGAATGTTGATCCTCTTGTCCGCTGAATTCCCTGGATAAAAGAAAACAATAATATAGAAAAAAAATATTAATTAAAAGCATCATCAATCATGTTAATTGTTTCGTCCTTGGAAATAGCAAGAAAAAGAGAAGGAGAGTGAGAGAGAGAACGAGAGAGATAGTGACAAGATCAACAAAAAAGGTTAAAAAATTGAAAAAAAGTCAGAAAGATTTAGATGAAAATTCATAACAAAATTTGATAAGATTTTGAATCCTTGAAATTAGAACGACAAGGAAAATATTTTAATTGGAAAAAAAAGACAGATATCAATTTGAAAAGAAATAATATGAACTTACACTGTCTGCGGATATTTCAAGTGTCCTAGATTTTCTTCTCCAGTTTTAATCATTTTGCTGTAGTTATATTTAGATATCTGAAAAGTAGCGATTCGAAAGGAGAAATAATAAGATATATTAAGAATTTTTAATAGATGTATATTATAGTAGGTATATTCGTAAGATTCTAACCCCCAGCCGGTGGCACGCCTGACTGCATTATCTCCGTCGGTACACACGCGCGATATTTTTTTCTCACCTTCGTTCATAAATTTGATCGAACTGTGCAGGTGCGTACCCTGTTTTTAATATATATAATATGTGTATATATAAATATATATATATATATATAGATATATATATATATATTTATATATATGTGTATATCGAATCGACCGCCGACCTTATTCGATTAACTTATTATATTTTAAAACATTACTGTGTCCTATTTCTTTCTTTTTTTTTAATCACCTAGTTGAGACCACATATTACACAATGTGTGAAAGAGATTTGAAATTATTGAATGAAAATCTAATATAAGACTTTACGAGTAGTAGCATTCGCCGTTGATTATTAAAACCAAATCGAAATGGAAATGTTTTAACTTTTTTATATTATCGCTAGATGGCAGTTTAAATAGTCGAACGAGATATCGATAATCACCAAGATCGAATTAAAAGAAGGGGATTTCCTTTAGTTCTAACCTTATCAACCAATGAGATTCTCAGAATTGAAGACTAATTTTGATTTTAATTTAAAATGTAATCTAATACTATTTTAATTTTATCTTTATATAAAGGAATTTGATATATTCTCAATTTTTATTCGAAAAAATGATTCTCAAAATATTGGGGATTATCTTTTTTTTTCGTATTGTTTTTAAAGGATAATAAAATATTTCTCATGTAAAACGATATTATACGCGATAAATTTACACAGTTTATTTCTTTGAGTTTTTATATATATTTTATACACTATAGACAGGCTTCTTGTATTTGTTTTATTTTAATTCTTTTTTTATTTAATTATTATTATTATTATTATTATTATTATTATTATTAATTTTTATATTTTTATTTCTTTCGTGTACGTGTCCCTAAAACCTCTTTTGGAAAATGGCAGTAGTGCTCAAACGTACGTAGACCCAAAATTGGTTGTGGCAGTTAAATTCAGCTAAAGTGTCGAGTATTTCTTTTTTTGTTGTTTTTTTTTGTTTTTTAGAGTAAATAGCACTTAAATACCTACGTACATTAATGCGTACTTACATTCCTCGTTTGCCAAATAGTATTTACGTTACGTTTATATATTTATATTACAGATTGCACATACCTCTATTTTATTTAATAATTATTAATAATTTAATCAAAAAAGCGCGAGGGAGATGAAAGGTGAATCGAAAGAAGAAGATACGCTGCTGATAAGAAACCTTGTTTTTTTATGTCTTTTCTTTTTTTTTTACTTACGAATTTAATAATTCGTCCTTTTCGATTCACGTTTCTCGCAATGTACAGAGTTTTTGCCCTACGAATAAAACGACATCCATCTTTTCGCAAAGCCTTTTTTTGTCGATAATCTTGTATATTTTTTTTTGTTTTTTTTGTTTTTTAATTTTTTAATAATTCAATGAGGCGCAGAATAAAAGCAACGTCGAACATTTCGTCGTAACTTCAGTTTGCGCGGCACAAAAACTTTTCTATTTGAAACTTCCGTTCGAAAATTTCACTATGTTTTTTTTTTTAATTTTATTTACTTTTTATTCTTTCTTTATTTCGAAAACAATTTCTTTTACTTTTTTTATACCCTTTGACGTCCTTTTCTTTCTAATATTACCGGCGAAGTCAAAGTTAGATTAAATTTATTTCTTTTTTGGGTCTTTCGATAATATATCGTATGATGTCCATTCTATATATTATATATATACATATATGTAATGGTATATATATAATATATAATGATATAAGCACACTGAACACTGCGCCAATCCAATTGGAAATAATGATACCAATTTATTTTTATTTAAATCCTTCTATCAATTTTTTTTTTATTTAAATCCTTCTATCAATTTTTTCTTTTACTTTGGAAATATTCACAGAGGTGTTTAAATTATGCAGGGAATTTTATTTTTATTTTTTAACGAACGCCTTCGAGGTTTTCATAATTTATCATTTTTCATTTTTTTTTGTTCTTCCTTTTGTTTCGTTTCATTTTTAATTCATTTATTCATTCGTGGTAATTGTTTATGTGGTATGTACGCGCGCACGTGTAATTTTTTTAATTTTTACTATCATCATAATATTAATTATTATATTATTATTATTATTATTATTATTATTATTATTATTATTATTATTATTATTATTATTATTTAAGCGTAATAGCTCGATTCTGCTAGGAGCGACTAGTCGATCGCCTAAGAAAGAATATTACAATCGTTTTGTAAAAAAAAAAGATGAGCTATATATATATTATGTATATGTATATGTTTATACCGGGTGGCTTCACGCATACGGAAAGAATTGTTTCTTTTCTCTTATCTTTCAACAAAATTTTTGTTCTATGTTCTTTTACGTTTTCGTTCATTCCAATTGAATTCTTTCTGCGTTAGTGTGATCATCGTGTGTGTATTTGGGATCTCGAAGCTTTGAAGTCGATTTACAAGCGCGATAAATTTCACTAAAAATTACAATTTAAGTTTATTACAAAATTCTAAGAAAAAGTGTGTCTATCTGATACAATCGTTCGCCATTTGCATGCACGTCGAGACGATGAAAATGGTCCCTGTGGGATTTCGATTAAAATAATATTATATATATATATTTTTTTGTCTTTGAATATATTTTATATAATATATAACGCGCGCGCGTATATATTACATATAATATATATAATATCTCATATATACAGGCTATTTCATAATACATAGGATCCACTTCAGGAGTGAACAGGGAGACACACACAAAAACAATGAAAAAAAAGTTCACTAAAACATATGTCGTATTTAATCTTCTTTCATAGTTTTATAGTCACTTTTGTGTTTCAATAATCCGCGATAATTTATCATCATAGAAAGTGCTCAAAATGATAATCCTCGGTTTGTTTTTGTAAACATTGCTATAAGTCTTGTGGATATTTCTTATCCTTGTTGATGTCACACTTTCTGTTAATTAAATTTAATCACTTCAGTTTATTCAATTCAGTTAGAACGCTTAGTCTTCTTACTAGGATACTATTATTTCATAATGTTTATATTTTCTGTGTATTTATAAAGTTACAAGCGCGTATATTAGATTTTGATTTTTGGTCTTATATGAAAACTGTAACATATTCGACATTCATTATCAGCATTGAAGAATTTTGTCATTGTTTTTGTCCCTTGTCACTACTAAAATGAGTTACACGTATTACGAAACAAACCTGTATATTACATATAGTATTTTATAATGGTATATATATATATATATATATATATATATATATATATATATATTATATATTATTTATATATATATAAGCGCTTTCTCTCTCTCTTTCTCTTTCCTTGTCTTTTATTTGTTTTCTCTTTTTCTTTCTTTTTCATTCTATATTAGATTTGATTAAAAAAATGATGAGATTATATATATTAAAGTTTTGAATGAATATTTGATAAAGATTACCGGACGAAGCACGAAGTAAGTTGATAAAGCTATTATGCTAGTTGACCCCGGTGTATGTGATCTAATTTTCTAAACGATCGATCGCCGAAGTTTGTTATTTCAAACGCGTAGAACGCGAGTTTGTGACGCATTTCTCGTCGGAGAAATAATGCCGACCACTTTGAACCAAAACTCTATTTGGAAATAAACTTTCGAAATAAACCAATATATAATATATTGTACGTACGTATATCTATATACCCACGTATATTATCATATGATTTATTATATGCATGGGATACATAGAATACGTTTTATTATTCGTACGAAAGATAAAACACGTGACATCTGGACGGAAAATATAGCGAATTATTTACTAATATTATTATTATCATTATTACTACCGTTACTACTAATATTATTTTTTTGCGAAGTAATTTTTAATCATTCTAGATAATCCTCGATAAATTTTTATCTATAGGACACGAATTAATTACGATATTACGATTTTTTTTTTTTTATAGTAATAAGTTAATTTTTATCGATCCTCGTGTTGAGATAAGACAAAATGAAATTAATCGACAATCACTTTGAAATAAAAAATAATCTCGAAATAATTGCTACGTTAATAATGTTAAAAATTAATTTTTTTCTTCTTTTTTTTCATGAGATTAATTAGATGTAGCACGATATTACTATATTACGAACTATTTGCAATTAATGGATATATTATTGTAATATAATATATAATTTATTATGTGTGTCATTTAATATACTAATCGATGAGTATAGATTTATTTTCGGTAAAATTCTGATCAGACTCACACGTGAGGATCATTAGATCGCACGATGAATGAATCGATTTATGACGCTAATGTAAATTTTCTAAATTTTACAAGCACGTTAAGTTAGCCGGTCAAATCTGTAACTCGGAATATTATCGAGGGTTTAATTTATGACGTGCGAGAGATAACGTTAGAGAGCTCGATGGTGTTCGCGTAGTCGAAAAATTATGTATATACATATATATCTATTTTAAAAACGCCCTCGTTGAATCGATAAATCACAATGTTCTATCTCTTTCTTTCTTTCTTTTCCCCTCTCTCTCTCTCTCTCTCTCTCTCTCTAACTATTTCGCATAGTTAGCTTCAAATTATATCCATCCAATAATAATATTTGTGCGGGCTCGTTGCTCGTGTCTGCTGATTTAATTCAATTCGCGAATGTAGGGGTGGGGGTGAAGGTAGGGAGAAAAGAAAAAAAAAAGATCGAAAAAATCGTCGATTGAAACTTAACGATTTATACAAAAGATTAAGAAAAGAAAAGTAAAAGTAAAAGTAAAAGGAAAAAAAATATATTCTACAATCGTAGTTTTATTATACAAATTTCTGATATGCTTGCGATATATTGCTGATATATTTTTTTCGTTTCTTCTTCTTCTTCTTCCTTTATCTTTATTATTATTATTATTATAAATATTATTATTATGATTATTATTATTTTTATTATTATTATTATAATTCTTTACCGTCCTTTGAATAAATAAATATGAAAAACACACACACACATTCGTACACATATATATAATATTTATCTATATATGTGTACGTATGTAATTATGTGTTATATAAATTAATAAATAAATCGTTTATTTTAACATTAGACTTTTCAGCCTTCTCTATATTGTTACGATGTTCATGTACAAATGATTCTAACATTATTTAAAAAAGAAGAATAAAAATAATATGAAGAAAAATAGTTAAAGATTCGTGATCGATGGACGGAGTCGTACAAAAAAGAAAAGGAATAAATGACACTTTTCTTTTTTTTTTATTCCCAAAATTTTTTTGCACGTGCACCTAATATTATTGTAGAAAGTAAAATTTAATATGATATCTATATACACGAAATGGATAACATCTTTTTTTAAAGACAACCTTGTATATATGACTATGATGTGAATATCTTGTTCAATTTTGTTTTAAGAAATTTGTATCCAAGCATTAACGATGATCTAAATCTCATATGCATATAAATATATATAATAAATCAATATAAAACAATATTTAATAAATATATAAATTTAATATATTAATATATATATATATATATATAGTGTAATAATAATATAATAATATATAAATTTATATATTGATATATTATTAATATTATTATCAACATTATATATATTATATATAATTTATATATTATTTATTATATATTATATTTATTTATTACATATATACGTATAAAGATTTTGAATGATTAAATACAGCCAAATATAATTCTCTTTTTATACATGATGCCGTACGATCTCTTCTCAATCTCTGTAATATATATTGAATTTAAAATTCCCAAAACTATTAAGCTGTATCTTTCTATAAGCACCCTTTCTTCCCTCCTCTTCTCTCTCTCTCTTTTTCTCTTTCTCGCTCACTTACATTCTCGACCTTTTCGATAAGCGCCCGTTTCCAAATCGATACTCAATTTTCTCAAGGTCAGTAGTCTTTTCCACATCTGGCATGTATTATTCTCATTAAATTAAATAGTTGAAATCTCGTTTTATATTTATCCTAACACGTGTTCGACCCTTATAACCGATTAATTAATGTATGCAATTTGTGCTTCTAATGCATTATTTAATAAAACTACCATGCTATCTGATCTTATACTAAATTTGCTAATTTATTTAGCACGAATCTTAGGACACAGGCGCTTTTTCTTATCCTTTGATTATTTTTTTTTCTTTTGTCATAATTTTAGCGAAAGATTTTTTATATTGTTTTCTTTTCGAAGATCGGATTGTTGAAATAGGTAAAATAACAAATTTGTGGTTTTTTTTTCTTGTCTCATTTGGCGATCGACGAATCTATAAACGTGTCACTTTGTAGGACATCCTAAATAACTAAAGAATAATTTTCTTTGTTTTTGTTTCTTTAATTAATTAATTAATTTATTAATAATAATAATAATTATTATTATTTTCAAAAATACTGTACATAAGAATACCTAAGCCACGCAAATCCGATCGGTTCTTTACAAGTTCTTCTCCTTTTTCTTCTTTTTCTTTTATTTTTTTCTTTCTTTTAATTGTTTTTATTTTTATTTTATTTTAAATTTTTTTTTCATTTTTTTATTTCCAATGAATTATCGAAGCGATAAAGTATGAATATACGATACGTAACGTTGCGATCGAACCTATATCTTGTGTCGAAAACTGGGTAGAAAAAATAATAAATAGCTGAAGTTGTGTAGGAGGAACGATAAAACTAGGTGAAGATTGGATGAATGAGGGTTGGACGAGAAGGAGGAGGTGGTGGAGGAGGAGGAGGAAGAGGTATAAAGAGATCTTCCTATTATCAGTTGTTTTGTTTCTCTTGCTTTCGGAACGGTCGTTCATCTTCTTAAAAATCTAAAGAATCCTCTGCTCTTATCAGGCGCCGGTGCCATCAGCATCGGTACTTGATTTTTATGAGTTATGTGTATCTGTAATCAGAATCAAAACGTTCATACTTAAACGTTTATCCAATTTAAAAAAAAAGAGATGATCTTTTACTGTTATTTATTAGATGAAATATTTTTTAAATAAATATAATGAATGCCGATCAAATGTTATTTACATTGAACAAAAATATATCTACATACTGAAATAAATAAAATTGAAAAATTAATAATGTTTATGAACTTACAGTGCATGGACCTTGCATCCATGGTTCACCATCAATTTGCATGGGGAACCGTTTGGTCGTGATGATGGTTACGCTGCTACATTGAGCCAATCTTCTTCCAGAATTTCGTAACCCTGTTTTAACTTGGCCCATATGTAAACAGTCTTCCAATCCTATCACTTCTATAAGATTATCCCCGATATCTGGAAAACAAATGAAATTATTTATATAATTTAAAAATAAAAGGGTAGGGGGTATAATTTAAAAAAACATCAGATTAAATTACGATGATTTACCCTGTATCGCGGCTGTAAGATCTACTGAATTAAAACTACTAGTGCTGAGTTCTTTGTCTGGTCTTTTCTTTCGTTTAGCAAGACGATGCCTCGCATGGTGTTCACCCCATAGGTTCGAACCCCCATGGGTGAAAGGAATGTTTAATAAAGCAACACCCTGTAAAGAAGGTCCGTGTGCCAAATCCAAAGGTGTACCGTCACACTACAATTTATACAAATGAAATTACAATTTCATTATAAAATAATAATAATAATAATAATAATAATAATAATAATAATAATAATAATAATAATAATAATAATAATAATAAATGAATGAATTATAAATACCTACAATTAATTCGAGATGTTCGTGAAGTTTTTTACAACTCGCGGCGAACTGTTCAGTCGTAGCATATTCGAAATACCACAATTTGTTCTTCATCCTGCTGTTAAATTTTTCCGGATTCTTTTCCCTTTCAACGTGAAACTTGTTACAAATGGCAGCGTCAACGCCAACGGAAAAATAATTATTGATAATATTGTAAGGTATACTATCTTGATTAGGTTTCTTTTCCTCTTTCTGATCTAGTACTTCGATCTGCCAACGATCCATCATCACGGGTGTTGATTTCTCGATTTTCTGTAGTAAGAAAAGGAGAATATTTTGAAAAATTCGTATTAAAAATACTTGGAGTTCTTGGAATTAGAAATAGATCGGAGGTCTTTATTTACTTTGAGAACTTTGTAAATAGCTTCGCCCTCGTAACCACCTCCCCAACGTAGACATCTGGCAAGATCGTTACCAGTACCAAGTGGTATGACACCAACAGCAGGCTGATGCTCGAACTGTACCCGATCTAAATCGTTTAACACACACATAGACAAACACATACATAATATATATATATATATCATACATAAACTCCTACCATGATAGAATTCCCCGAAAGTGTTATCATCAAAGTGTTACTACCATTAATGGCAGCTAGTTGTCAGCTTACCCATAGTTTCCAAAACCCAACCGACAGTACCATCGCCACCGCAACAAATTACCCTGAAGTTCTCGACATCTTTGAACATTTGCAAGCCTTGCATCGGTCCACCAATGGCTAAATTGTGTACCTGCCTAGGGTTCAGAATGTATTGAAATTTTCTCAGCATCCTTTCGCCTTGTCTACCTCCAGATTTCGGATTAATGAACACCAACAACGGTATCGTATCTGGAGATGGGGTTATTTGGAAGGACATTGCTGGTTGTTGACTTGACGAGCTACCACCACCACCACCACCACCACAGCTTAAGAAACCACCCTGATGAAGAGGAATCTTTCGTACTCCAATCGCATCTAATCACAATCCCAATAGTCTATCCCAAATAGAAATGTGATCTTTTCATTGTCTTTTCTCTTTCAACGAATATAAATGATATCATAAATTTGTATATCAATCAGTAGTATTTTAATGGATGCATAGCCACGATATTAACGCACGTGTGATAGATATCAAAGTCACAGTTTTATTTGGGATGAAATATGTACGCGAGGTAGACTAATTGGAAAAAAAGAAAAATTAAAAAAATATCACACTGGTATTTAACACTTACAGAACTGACAGACGAAGAGTCCTGTCCATGTTTACTACCCCTTTTGCTATCCCTCGATAATGATCTCTGTCTGTCCAATACGACTGGACAAATCGCTGTAGGTGGTAAAATGTGTACAGCATATTCGCCGAGGGTGCATTCGGTTTTCACTTGCGAAGCGCATCTGTTGTGCAGCTACAAAGTTACAATTGAACAGCCAATGTTGTTGATCGATCGTACGATGGTTTGAATTTTAGAAAGCAACAAAAATTCAAATCTAGTCGAGTTGGTATGGAAAAGCTTACTCACGGTTAGTTGACACCAACGGCAATGGAGTCCCGTGATTCCATTGTAACTTTTAATGGTTTTTCTACACTTTGAGCACTTTCCGTGACAATTGCCCTCGACCCAATGATGTATCATAGTTTGTGAAGTTTTTTTACTTTTTACATAGGTTGCAATACACGATGCTGGTGCTCTTTGTACGCATCTTTCGTGGACAGTATATTTGCAAACTTAAATAAGAACAAAAATTATGAAATAAATAAAAGTAATTTGATTAAAAAATTCTTGTTATTTATATGATCAGTATATTAAATAGATGGTCAAGTATTTATAATAAAATATTGATATATATTTTACATAAATATGACGCAACTCTAATGCAATCCTACCCCTATTATTATTATTATTATTATTATTATTATTAAATATGAACCATTTATCTTTTTAAACAGTGATAAAAAAAGTAAAAATGTTAAAAATAACTGCTATCTATATGGTTTATGTATTAATACGCGATGCAACCTTGATACAACCCTATCCTTATTATAAATACTAAAAAATTAATTTTTAAAATACTGATAAAATAAATAGAAGTATCTAAAATAGTCGTTACTAATACGCGATCTGTATTTATAATATTCTATGTAATGCAACCTTAACGTAATCTTATCCAAATAAAATCTAAAAGTATGAAAAAATAATATCTTTCAAATTCCTAAACAAAAAAATGAATATTAACTTAACGAGGAAGAGAAAATGCTTACAAACACAACAGAGTCCTTTCTTTCCAAGTCCAACCAACATGTTCAAGCACAGATTGCAATAAGCGGGTTTGCTGAAGTGCTTCAATCTCCACAAATGATTTCCATCCTCTTTCACGTGAGAATCGAGACCAAGGAGAACTAACAATGGAATCGTCGTTAATCCACCCCTCTTCCATTCCTCCAAGGACACCGTACCATCCGAATCGTAATCGATCTCTATCATCATGTCTTGTAATATCTAGAAAAACCGGTTGTTCGTTCGTTTTTCAAACTCTCCTGAACAATCCTCCTCTCCCTCCCTCTTCCTCCTCTTCCTTCTCCTTCTCTTCATTTTTTCGTATAATAATCGACAAACTTTTTCTCATTATTTTCTACTCACCGGTTTCAATTCGCTCACATCCCAACCGAGATATTCAGCCACGTTCATCATTTGATTCACGATGCAGTCCATCTCCTAAACCAACAAATTTTATCATCACACACAATGTTTGTTATATCATAGTAATTATTATTATTAATCACAATCGAATGATAATAATATTAATTAATTATCTTTAATGTACGCGCTTAATTCCCTTTTAACATTGGAAAAATTGCAAAAGACAATATCAGATAATTTTTCATAGACCCACTTTTATGTTTTGCTTGACGTGATTTCAATGCATTACGAATTTGTCGTGTCTAGATTATTATTATTATTAGAGTATCGATGTTACTTTTTGCGAAATGAAATGAAACGCGCTGTAACATCGTTGAATCATGTTTACAAATGATTCTGGAAAAAAAGTAACTAGAGATAACGTTTGGTTACTCGTAAATCGTACTACTACAACCACTACCACGACCACCACCATCAATACCAATAGTAGTTCTGTTATCCGATGCAGAAACTTATTCGTGTAGTATAGTACTATGTATCCATAAAGTATGTGCTTTTACGATAGTATGCAACCTGGGTAATTACTTGTTGGAGAATATATTGTATATAGAGGAAAGGAAACCATACGTATTTGTACACACACATGTTCTGTTCGTAAGGTAAACTCGTAAAATAAATGGGATCAATTCTAATTCGGTTTATACTATTTAAGTTGACCTAAAACAATTTGTACGAAATTTACACAAAAACATCGTAACTTACTAAATGAACATTTGGAATAATTTAAAAATTAAATTAATAATGTAAAAGGTGTATACAAGATTAGGTTGAAAAGTTTTCAGCTTGGACAAACAAACTTTTATTTTATTTTAATACAAAAGTGAGAGTTTCATCGACAACAAATTGTTTCTATGTTGAACCCAAAATTTTCAAATCACTAACATACATAATATTATGTATAGAATTTCACGTTAATTTTTAGATTCAATTTCCTTACATCAAAAAAATATATATTTACCAATCAACGATACACGAAAATTTGTTACTTACGTTCTTGTCAAGTACGCCATTCCCATCTGTATCGTAGAGCCGGAACATGACTGGAATATACAAAATTATAAATATTATATATATGTATATTTATGTGCATATACATGAAGAAAAATGTCAACGACTTGGACTCCAATATCGAAAAGTGATGTGCAACAAGTTGCAATCTGAACGTGTGAGTTGTTCATATAACAATTGTGTGTTCACGTGTGATCTTTCAGGTGGAAAATATTGAGAGTAACGATGACATTTTAACGATTACACGTAGGTAGATGTAATACGTGCATTCTTTTCTTTTTTTTATATTTGATTTCGTGAAAGTATCGAGATTGGTTGATTAGTTATGTAGGAATGTTTTTCCTTGTCTGTATATAAATTAATAAAAGTATTTTTTTTTTATTGAAAATATTTTGTTATTTCAGTCTAAATAAATAATGAAGTATATTGTATTTCGAGTTGAAAAAATATTTGTTATTTTTTTATTTGAAAATTTTTTCTATCTCGTATCTAAATATTTACATAAACAACATTATTAGTATATTTTTATTGAACATATTAAGTATTTTCATTCTAAATAAAAAATCCTAATATTTTTTTTATGTTTTTACAAAATTCTGACGATACTCAATCTAACAGAATAAAATCAAAAAAAGATAAAATAATACAAATTCACAAGTTACTCTCTTTTTGTAATCTTGTCAATTATATTACACACGCTTAGTTGGATGAATGATTAGAAAAATAACATCGCGTTAGATCTTTCGATTACGTCACGGTAAAAAAAAAGTAAGTAAGAAAATAAAGAAAAGAAAAGAAATGAGAAGAAAAATAAATAGAAATGAATATGGTAGAGTCAAGAGAAAATCACGGATAAGAGTGGAAGGACTCTTTTGCTAAATTTGTAAGATAAATTTAGTGTGTGAGAGAAAGAGATAGAGAAAGAGAGTTACGTTCAAAGTACTTACACTCTAATTTGTCTTCTGGTCTGCCTGCTTCCAAGAGAGAAAGGTAGCAAACGATATCTTTCAAGCTGACCTTAACTGAATGGACATCTATCGTACTTTGCTTTCTAACAAGATGTCTCATCTCTGCAAAAGAAGATAACACACAATATCAAAAAAGAATACATCCTTTATAATAAATTTGTTTTAATTTGTAATAATAAAACCTTGAGAAATAATGCTTTTTTTTAATATTTTTCTAATAACAAATATGAACGAATTGTTTACCCTCTTTTATTTTTTATTTTATTCGTATTTTTATTAGATCGTTGAATTTCAAAGAACGTTCGAGGATCATCGGAAAAATTGTATCGTTTAGAGGATAGATTACTATATTTATCTGTTAGTATAAGGTGTGTGCGTGTGTATGTGTAATTTTGTGATTTTTTTTTCTTTTGAAATCTTTAATATCTTTAAATATTGGAATGATATTTTTCAAGTACACACTTCAGATGGTTTTCACCCTCTTTTCTGTCTGTCTATCTGTCTGTCTGTTTCTCTCTCTCTCTCTCTCTCTCTTTCTGCGAGTGTTTATACATACAACATGTATATACATTGTTCTTATTATAACTCGAAATAATATCTATTTCAGTCGATTCGTGACATAGCTGTTTGTATTTTTGTAGATTTCGAAAAGAACGAAACATTTATTCTTACGTTGAACTTAGTTTGTTGCCAAATTGGTTCATCTCATTGTTATCATTTATTTGTATTATTATATACAGATATTAAGATAAAAAAAAAAAACACAAAACAAAAACGAAGAATTTATTAGTCGAATAAATGATGATTTTATAATCGCTGAATAATTTTTTGTTTCATTCTTTATCGTACTTGCGATATTTAATACAATTCTTGTTAATAAATTTTTGTTTTTGATGAAAAATTGAACTCACGAGAAGATAAATTTCTTTTTAGTGGTAGTCGTGATCGATCTTTAGATTCGAAATATTTATTTTTGAAAATTCGCGATGCTAATATCGTAGATGATTTCGTTTATGTACATATATATATATACGGCGACGATTTAATCTAAAAATAACTTTTCGTCAGACCTAGTCTGTGCTAACGGGACTCTTATGTCTGTCAAATGCTATACTTCCGTAATTTTATTAAGTAATATTTCAATCTACAATAAGATAGAAAGAAATAGAGACAGAGTGAGCTAGAAAGAGAAAGAGAGAGAGAGAGAGAGAGAGAGAGAGAGAGAGTAAAAGTACAGTAAAATGCATAAAATAATTCAACATTAAATTCGAATTTTGATGTTAAAAATTTACGAACCTTCTTTCAGCAAATAACCAGGTACATTTTGCAATCCTATCAAAAATTTTCTTTTAAGAACCATATTGATCAAATTTTCACCCACAAAACAACAACACCACGATTTTAAATAATCTATTTAAATATATGAACAATCATCTGTAATTAAAATTTCACGATTGTCTAGCAAAATATTTTTGCAATATAATATTTCTAACATCATAATTAATGTGTTTAGTTAAAATAAAAAATAAATGAACTGGTACGTAATGACAAAAAATGATTAACGCGATAATAATTAAAACAAAAAGGGTTGGGATAAAATTTTGAGATTGTTCGTTTTTTTTAATTTGTGGTTCTTTTCCCCCTCCACTAAGAAAATGACTAAACAATTTTATTTAACGGTTATAACGAAATGATACGCGATTAAATGACCTAACGCAAAAGTAGCAACAATGGCAGCTGTAACAACAACGACAATGGTAGAATAACAGTAGGATTCCGGTAACACTTGTTGCTTCTAGTGCACCTCGAGAATTACTGAGCGTGGCGAAAGCTCGGTCAGGATACAACAAGCAAGGTTTCGAGGCAAACGACGTCATTTATACCGAATGACACCGTCGTCGTACGCGTAGGAGCTATTTCGAGGAGTTCGCCAGAGGCTTGTGGAAACATCTCTGATATACACACACACACACACGCACGTAAAAACACGCAGAAATGTACACACGTACACCGTGCATTCAATTGGGACGATCAATTAAGAGATTAATTTCGTTTTTTTTTTTAATGGTCGATTTTTACATCCACACCAAATGAAAAATCGTCACGCTATCGAGTTCAAGGTCGATTGGTTATTTTGAAATAAATTATTTTCAATGTTAATTAAAATTCTCTAGATGATCACCTCCTGACAAAATTAGTCAATTAATTTTCTTATTTTTTTTTCGTATCTATCGAAATAAAATTTATATACGATTTTGGTACTGTTGTTGAAAACATTTACACGTGTATTCACTTTGTAGATAGTTGATCAATTAAAAGATCTTTATTATTTTTGTTAATAAATTTAATGACTATACAACGATAAAATTTTTTAATATTTCTATCACACGATTGATTATTATCGTACGAATAATTTTACACGTTCGTAAGGAATAAACTGTTAAATATAAAATCATTCTTGATTTGTTTATATACAAAGAAACGCGGAAATAAACTCTAGACAAGTTCGCGTGGAAAGGGTGGTATTCCTAAAATGTCGTGACATTTTGTAAAGATCAACTCGTTTTGTGTACATAAGGTTTGTAAAAGAGAAAATTAGAAATAGACACTCCTATTTCCTGTATTTTCACGTGAAAGATAAATATATATATATATTTATTTATATCGAAAGAAAATCAATTCGAACTTCACTCGGCCACTATTGCGAAAGACTTTTGATGAACATCTGGATTCTATAATTCAAACATATAACTCTTTTATAATTATATTCTTATTACAGGAGAGAGATGTTGCGAAAAAATAATCGATAAAAGTAGAAAATCACGTAAGATAAGTTAAAATGGCAAATGGCAAACCGCCTAAATATGGGACTTACTTTAGAAAATATGGTCAGAGGATAAAAAAAAATATTCGAAACATGTGTCCTATTTGTTTTCTAAATTATAGTCAATTTTGTGTTCAAACAATTCGAGATAGTTTATCGTCATGGAAAATACTCGAAATGGCCAACCCCTTCGTGTTTGTATTCATTGACAGCTTTCTCGTACACGTCCTCGAAGTTCTTCGATGTTTGGTAACGGGTTTCGAATACGCAATAGTTTTCAAAATGAGTCCAGAAATCAAAATCTAATTATGGGCATGTAATTTTCAAATACACTCTGCAAAATAAAAAATAATGGAATAATTTTAGTAAGAGGATCGAAATAATTTTATGAATTAAAAATTTAATTAACATAACATGTGTGGATATCAATGAGAATAAGAAATATTGATAAGACCTCGAATATTGTTTATGATGTGAAATGTGAAATGATCATTTCTGGAACATCTTCTATGAAGATAAGTAATCGTGAATCATTGGAACATAAAAGTTGTTATATGTATTTTTTAAAATGCATACTTGAAATGATAGTTTATTATTTCTTTAAATAAAACAAATAAAATACTATATTTTTCTGATTTATGTTGACAAAGTAAAAAAGCGCACATTTATTACAAATATTTCGTATCTTTTTAACTCTGTAATCCTTACGATACACATAAATATAAATTATCGTATTTTAATGATTTTTCTTATCCTGTAAAAAGAAAAGAATCAAATTGTATAATTTAATATATCAAGATAAACATTATTTTATTTTGTTTTTCTTATATTACATTTCTATTTAAATTTGTCATATCAAAATTTGTTCGTAAATCGTAAATAATTCTTATAATAAAAATGCAATAAAAATGACAACACTTGTGAGATGAAATGAAATGTATGATCAACGAGGAAGACAGACGGTGATTATTTTTCATAGTAATGATTTTATTAGAGTTAATTTAAAATGAAAATAAAAAAAAATATCTTCGATATAGAGTATGTGTATGTGTGTGTGTGTGTGTGTGTATGTAAGAAAATCGATCGATTAAAACATCTGATCGAACTGTTGTATTATCGGCGTAAATGTATCGAGAATATATCCAAGGGTGTATAAGGAAAGGGGGGGGGGAGCAGAATCGAGTTTTATGGAGGCAAGCCATTTATTTTACGAGGGCGTATTGTTTGGAGAAACCTTCGCGTTAGGATTTTATCGTCAGTGGCTGCTCCGTTTCTAAACGTAATGAGCTACACTTACGAGCTGAATCTTGGATCATAAATTGACTAACGACCCCATTCCAATTCTTTTCTTTCACCTTTACAAGAAAATAAACTCTAACAATCATCATTATCATCATCTTTGAACTTGGTACATTTAAAGGTTTTTTTTCTTTTACACTACCTTTTTCTAAGAAAATATCATCAAAAAAAAGATCTTTTTTTTTTTAATGCAACTTTTAAACAGCGTCACCCTCTTCCTTCTATCTCCCCACTTTTCACCCCCACCTCTCAAACACCACCACCCTTGACCCGCGGCGAGCGCCGTGGGGCGAGTTATGCTACTTGAAAAGTTTCATCAAAGTTTTTAGATTAGTGATATTTATTGAAGTTTAGAAGAAATTTTGTAATAAATTTATTTTAATACCAGATATAAATATATTCGGATTAAAAAAACAAAAAGAAAAGAAAAAACAATTTAAGACGCACGATTGTCTTTTTTTTTTTTAAACCAGGAATCAAACAATAAAATTAAATTATTTCTTTTTTACAATATCATACACGGTGAAGTTTATTAAAAAAAGAATTCATTGACACAATTGTATGATCATATTTTTGACGTACGAATTTGAATGTTTAAAACATATTTTAAAAAGAATTTTTAAAATATAAATTTTATTTAAACATACAATCGACAGAAATTCGAAACGAACGTATACAGAATGAGAAAGAAGAAACGGATATTGCTAGATGTAATCGATATATGGTCGAATTATTGTATTTCTAAGTTTGGTATGCTACGCGTATAGATATATCGTAATGGAAAACCATCAATGGAAAACCAATGTCGAGAATCATTCGCTAGGAAGACTATGGTCAATGTTGAAATCGATGGTATTGTACATTCATTCTCTTTCTCTCTCTCATTCTCTTTCATTCTTTCTCATTCTATTCCGTTTCTATCTGTCCCTGTTTTCTATTCATCGTATTTTCTATCTTATTCCTACCTTCCAATTTCCCATTGTTGACGAGAAGAGAATTGTTCGACTTCCTGGACGAATTTCGTGACATTTGGCTGTGACTTGGGCTGCTGTCGGTACTCTTCTTTTCAAGAACGTCGTGGCAACTGTAAGATGTCCTTGTTACCGTCAACATTGGATGTACGCTTCCTGTAACGTAACGTCACCGTTAAACATCAAATCGATAGGAAGATTTCTTTTAGAAAATAGAAATTCTTACTTAAACGGAGTAAAAGTATTTCTTCGATAAAAATGTTACGGAAAACTTTGACATAATGTCTAATCGAAGTGAAACGAAAAAAAGGGACAATGTGAGTGAGAGAAAGAGATAGATAGATAAACGTATCCAAACAAAGTCACCCTTATCTCAACTTCAATCGACGATATATCATCACCGACAAAGTTTAAATCAAAGACAATTTTTTTTGCTTGGTTCAACAGGTAAGAAATTAAATCTTTGATAAACCATACTTCTTTTTTTTTGTTTCAACACGATGAAAAAAAAAATGAAATTCAATTACTAATTTTACGAAATATTTACATTCTTTTTTTTTTTAAATAAATTTATAAAATGATAAGAGAAACGTTGTGTTATACGGGTGTGTATAGTTTTATGGGGTAAGTATAAGAATTTGATACGTTGTATAAAACTAACTTTCTATTATATTGATTTACAAAGTTGTAAACCATGAACAGAAATTTTTTCTTTTAGTTTCATGAAAATTAGATTATAAATAAGACCACGTTAAAAAATTTTATGTTTTTCTTAAATTGTTCAAACCATAAAGTAAAATACATGAAAGATAAAATACGAAACATATATCATATTCTTGCATCGGTTAAATAATACATATAGATATAATTTAAAAGAAAGAAATTTTATATATTTCCAAAGATTTCCCTGGAGACGAGATATATAAAAAGAAATGAATACAACAAAAATAAAATGAAAAATATACGAAAAGTATCGAACATTGAGAAGATATTAACGAGATCGGTAGCAGCATTCGAGTACTGCTGATCTTCGTAAGAAATAACAATCAAATTCCAGGATACTGATCGTTGTCGATGAAAGAAAGGAAGCATGAAAAGAAGGAAAACGAAAAAAAAAGAAAAAAAGAGGGGAGAAAAATTGAAAACGTCGTCGACTCTCAATACGATAATACCTGACATCATTGTTATTTTTCCCGTTGACCTATTTTAAGAGGATGGGTAAAAGATGGGGGTAAAGGTTGAAATACTACTTCTAGTACCGGTGTTAGTGGCAAATGCTAGTGTTGGTGGTGGTAATGCTGATGGTAGGGTAGCGAATCGAAGGATTTCCCTTGTCCTAAACGAAAATACGACGACGCCTTCTGACATTTAAAGCTTGAGAGGTAAACCGTAGTAGCTTTCCTATTCTACTATCTGTTTTCTTTCTTTTCTTTTCCTTTTTTTTTTTTGTTTTCTTTCCTTTCGTAATCGTTAGAAGAATTTTCCTCTTATTTTATTAATCCCATCACTTCTACCACCTAGCACATTTCCCTTGCAATCAGATTTCCAATTTATCCGTTATATTTTTCCATTGTAAATTTGTAATCGTTCTTTTTTCTTATTTTTAGTTTATTATTTATTTTCTTTTTTTTTGTAGAATTTATGCGTATTGATTGTTGCCGCGTGTATTCAATTATTTATTTATTTTTTGTCTTTACTAATTACAAACACAATGTTGAATGATATAAATATATTTGTGTGTGTGGAAAATTATTTCTTACGACTAATTTCTCTATATTCATATTCAATTAATAATCATTCTGTTTCTTATACAACAAATAAAATAATAATAAAATAACGAACGAATTTAAAAATTAATATTGATCAACATAAATAAAAAAAGAAAAATAATATCAAATCTTTCATTTTGATACGAATATGAAGGCAGAGAACGAAAATGAATATGAAAATGTTCGTCCTTGGGGAATTATCATAGCTATTCGTTCTCAGCATAATGTCAAAGTAGAGATATCTGCTTTGAGAGGTAGAAAATCGAATGAAGAAGAAATGTGACATAGAAATTCATAGAATTACCAGTTCGTGTTCTTGATGAGGCTTCGCTCTCGGTTCTGTGGTGTCCCAGAGATTGCAGCTTTTCCGTAAGTCCATGAATTTTGTCGACCAACGAGGAACTACCAACGTGGCTATCAGTGCATGCTCCTCCTGGTAATCCGGTGCTGTTCACGTTACTGCTCGAAGTTGTGTGAGAAGTAATCGCTGCACATGCAGTCGTTGACGACAGCACAGCCATTTCCTAAAAAAAAAAAACAAAAATAATAATACCTCTACTAAAAATACGAATAAAAATACAAATACTTGTACCTAGTATTTATTTGGTCAGTATTTTAAAACAAAACGTTTTTCCCTCAATGTTTTGTAATATATATATATTTTTTTGATATTATATAAAAAATAATTTATAAATAGGTCAGTGTTAAATATTGATATTTTTTTAGTTTTCTTTTTTATAAATATTGATCATTAACGTATCATATTATTTATTATATTAAATATTGATCCAAAAAAATTTCGAAATATTTATTCAATAAATAGCACTCGTTCCTCATACCCACACTTAAAAAAAGAATAATATTTCACTTTCTTTTTCTTATACTCGTTAACCAATATATTATATTTATCTTTTATTTATGTTCCTCGTTGTGTGTTTCCGTGTTCTTTTTTTTCCTTTTGATTTTTCTTGGTCAAGAATAACTCAACCATTGATCCAACTCCTATCTGATTTATACGATTTTAAAAATCAGAAGGATCGTACTTAGGAAAAATCCCCTTCGATTTCCTTTTTTTCCGTTAGAATAAATTTTTTCCTATACCCTATCTCTATCTCATGTCCCTCTTTTTTTGTCTTTTTTTTTTTCCCCCTATCATAAAGTCTTCCGACATGTGGGATACGATACGTAATCCAAATTCAATCCGTTCATCGAGCCAGAAAAACCCTTTAATCTTTTTAATTTACGTGAGTACGAAAGGAAATCCTCGACGGACGTTTTGTCGATCGTTCACGTTTTGATTGATCAAATTCAAAAGATTTTATAATCAAAAAGAATATCATTTTCTTTTATCAATTTTCATTCGTTCATTCCTTCATACATTTTTAATATTAATAGAAAATATTTCGAAAGATTGACTATGGGATAAAAATAAGTCGAAAATTTTCATTCAAAGCAAAAGTATTCACTTATTTATCCTGTATATAATAATTATGATGTTGTTTTATGACTTACCTTAAAGGCTTTGCCATCGACAACACGGGGATCCTTTTTAACAAACGAGAGAAAAAGGTGACGTGACAACTCATCGGGTGTTGCGACTTCGAGGTAGGTGTCCAGAAATTTTCTAAAACCATCGTAATCGATGTCCTGCAAAACAAAAATGTTTCTATGTTAAAAGAAAATTATAAGTAAACAAACAAATAAAAAATATACATAAAAAACAAAAAATAATAATAATTAATTGCATTCACTGTATTGCATTTTAGTATTTTTTTGTTTGTTTATTTGTTTAATAAAATCAATCATATATGAGAGAAGAAAATTGTTAGTCAAAGATATATATATATATACCTAATTAATCTATCTCTTGACAAATTTTCTCTTGCGAATAAATTCTACTTAATTGCTATATTTTCAAAAACCCTCTTTTAAATCATATCAAATAAACTTTGAAATCTCCCCTCTTAACGATGCGTATAATGAATCAATGTAAAAAAAGAAAGAGAGAGATGATCTTTCACTCTCTAACGCAGGCTATAAATGTTCTCAGGTTTATGATGAAACAAAAAAAGAAAAAAAAGGGGAAAAAAAAGAAGAGAAATACGAGTCGATCGTTCCACAAATTGATCATTTGCGATTGCAATCGACGGTTGTACATTAAAGCTGCCAGCAAGAACCAACTCTCCTCCTCTTCTTTCTCTTTCTTCCCCTCATCCTCGTTGTCGTCGTCGTCATTCTCGTAGTAGTTCTGTGCTAATCGATCGATGGTGTTTCATGCAATTAACTGTGTTTACCCAAAGCCATTCGTCGAATTGCTGGTTGTACCGTTATACGCTCGAAATACGTTTTAGATGAGTTCACAATACATACCTACCAACCTCCCAATCCCACCCTACCACCCTCTCCATCACCCACTTTCCCCATCATTCGTCAGAGATGGAAAATCTACCTTAATTCCTTTATTATCAACGAGAGACAGTTTCGGCCATCGTGAATTGGAATTACTAAACAAAACGGATTAGGATCTCTTGAAATGAGAGAAATAGAGAAAGAGAGGTAGTGAGAGAGAGAGAGAGAGAGAGAGAGAATGACGTTTCGAATATCCAGTTTGTAGGTCAAGTACATAGCCGTGAGATATCCATGATGCTCTCAAAACACGACACTGTGACTGACTTAAGTGTTTCCTCGAAAGAAACATGACGATGGTAGGTGAGGGGGTGGAGGAAATAGAAGGATAAAAGAAAGATAAATAAGGAAAAAGAAAAGTTAATTAAAAGAATGGAGTAAAGAAAAATTTTCATTTACAAAGTAATCCTGAAAAAATATGACTACTTTGTGTTTACTAGACAATTCTCTTCCTTCTTCTACTACTCATACCATTACGAGAAATCTTCAAGGACAAGAAATCACAAAAAAATATTCGATTGTGTTTCGTGCAAACAAAATCCTGGTCTTGGAAGGAAAAACTTGAATATAAAGAAACTAAAAATGACAACATTTTTATTGATTACGATTTTTCTTTTTCTTTCTTTAGGAATTCAAAAATAAAATTAATCGTGCAATCCCACATAACATAAAAACTTTCTAAAAACTTTCTAAAACATTTCTTGAAAAGCTTTAAACCTTTCAAAAAGGTTTCTAAAAAATCTTTCTACAAGGTGAAAATGTCCGCGTTAAGAGACGTGCAAAAGATTACTCTATCAGTAAAATATTTTAGAAATGTTTTTAAAATATTTTTGTAAAATCTTTTATGAATCTTTTTCAAAATATTTTAGAATGATGCCTGCAAGGTTTCTGAAAGATTTTTTGGAAATATTTTACGAAACTTTCGCTGAAAGATTTCAAAACTTATCGTGCTATGTAGGATATATTGCACAAAATAGAATTTAATTAAAATAAAAAATAAGAATAAGAGAACGTTGATCATCTCGAAACCTGTTGATCAGGATATTAATAGGTTTCAATTTAATATACAATAACCATTATTATTATCTATGAAATTTGATAAACTTGTATTATGCAAGATCGACCACTTAAAAAAGGAAAACTTTTCTTCTCAATTTTATTATAATATATGCATCGCATATACGTCCTAAAATGTTTTTTTTTTTTAATGTCCGATCGAGATAATCGTTTTGAAAGCTTTTAAAAGCTTTCTTCAAACTCATTTATTATCAAATCGAAAGTTCACCATGGTTCTACGATTTTTATACTATATATATATATATACAATAATTATGAAAAAAAGCTATTTATCCGCTCTTTTCATAATTATATTAACATATTTTTTTATGAATAAAAATGATAGAGAGGAAAAAACACGATACAAATATTTGTTCGAAAATTCTTCGTCTGACCATATAAGGTTCGTACTACTTAAAAACGTCTAATACGTATCTCCTACATTAATTTGAAATTTTATTATATTTAAACAACGTACGATCTACAACAAAGCATAATTAATAAATATTTGTAAATATTAAATAAACAAAATAATCCAACAACGATGAATTTAAATTCCATTCCGAGATTCGAACGAAGAAACTTGGTTTTCAAAACAAACAAAAAGAATTTCCCCAAAGTATTACGTAGACAAAAAAAGATATTGAAAAAACCGGGACTAGGGAGCCAAAAAAAATAGAAATATGGAAAGGGTTGTAGGGATGGATGGGTGATATAGTAACCGAGAGACAATTCAGTTTCGAGCTTTTCTCGAGGCAAAAAGAGCTGGGCTGGCTAGCTCTCTCTCACTCCTATACCGTGTGACATTTATCGACGCCACTCTTCAAGGACGGAGGGCGTCGCCTTCTTCTTCCTCCTATTTTTGTTTTCTTTCTTTTTTCCTTCTTTTTTTTTCTCCATTAAACTTGCGCTCTTAGCGATAAACTCTCGGCCTCCTCTCACCACGGTGTCGAGGCTGGACTTACGCTTACAAAGCGAAAGGGCGCGGTTTCTGTAAAGGACGATAAAAAAAAAGAGAAAGAAAGAAAGAACAAAAATAAAATAAGAAGTGAGAGAAAGAGAGGGGGGGGGGTAAGCGAGTGTGTGAGAAAAAGATAGATAGAAGTGATAGCGAGAAAGAGGGATGGGGAGGGGGAAGGGTGAATCGTAACCTGAAATCGATCGAACGTTGGTACACATATATACATACATAAATACATTTATATATATATACTCGTAGCCTTCTCGTTCAGATGATCCTTCTCGTAAATGAAATCGTAACGGATCCAAAGCGATAAGTCGAAATGAAAGCTTTTGAGATACCCACTTGAGTAGATACTTCGTTTAATCCGTTCTCTACTTCTCGGATTCCTTTATTTTCTTTGAAAATTACGCAAATTTTCAGAATTGTAATTACTTCCTTTTCTAATTCTTTTCGTTTCATTTCATTTAATTTTTTTTTTAAGTAGTTAAACGTAAAATTTGATTACCTTTAAAATGATATTAATGATTTAAGGAATATCATTTCAAATAATGAAAGTTGGGATAGTTCGAAGAGGTGTTGAATAAAATTTGGAATATATTTTTATTTATTTATATCATTTTAATTAAATGTTATTAAATAATTGATAATTATATTGAATATTTATTATAAGTAGATATAAATTATAGTTAAACATTTAATCTAATCTTTGTTAATGCAGTATTCGAAAAATATTGTTCATTTTTTAAGAAATAAATACAATTGTAATATATATGTAATGAGACTATACAAATGTGTAACTTTAAAGTTACACGACGATATTATGAAAAAATTTATTTCTACTTCTTTACGAAGAAAGAAAAAGAAGGGAATAAAAATATTTAATATAAGTAATAACCGCTTCTATAGAGGATCGTGAGTATATTTCAAGAGAATGCCTGGCAAATACCTGCTCGTACTACTGCGAATTGTCTTTTAAATGTAAGTAGTGCATGGTTATTGTCGCTGGTAATAACATTAGTAAGTTCGTACTGCTTACTGCGATGTAAGACTTTTTAGCCAACTTGACAACACAACAGTAGTATGATTTATTCGAAATGTCAACTAAAAAATACTCGCCAAAAAAAAAATTAAATTCGAATGAAGATCGGGGAGAATTTACATGGCATTTATAAATTTACGAGAACCCCATTTAAAAAGAATCTAAATAATACAATAAATAAAAGATTCAGAAATTCTTTCTCATACACATACACACACGCCTATGTCATATACATTCTTCCATAAGGTTGGATGTTACGTAAAAAGAGTAGTAGTTTCAAGGTACATTGTCCAGCAGAAGCCTGATAAAAGTAATTCTTTATGCGTCCTCGTATAAAATGCGTCTTATAAAAGATGTGGTTGGTTGGTTGGGATGTTGGAAAGGGGGAACAACGATTTTCCAGTTTCTTCTTTACGAGCTTTCCTTTCCAAGGTTTTGTGAATAGGCTAAGAAGGAATCGCATCTCGTGAAGTTACGTAACTCCACGTGACATCAACTATTTTCTATGTCTACTCTCGTAGAAAATCTTGCTCGAGTACACCGATTTAACGAATAAAGAAAAAAAAGTAGTAGAAGAAGAAAGTAGAAGACGGAGATAGAAAAGAAAATACGGAACGATGAGAAGAGAATGCGTTATGGTGGGTGATGGTGTTGGTGGTGGTGAAATAGTTTCTCGTTCAAGGAAAGGTTATTGTAAAATGTAGTATCATCGTTGATACCCAGCTATAAGTACTAGAAAAAAGTAGGACGTCGTTTGTGTTAACCGACGGAATGTCCGCATGAATGAGACAAGATACGGCCATTAAGCTTCGAAGTTACGTGCCAGGGTAGAGAGAGGGTTGCACGGAGAGGGGTGAATTCTAAAGGAGATAGAAACGAGCACGTTCTGAATGATGGTAGAGTAAGGGGTTGCGCCATTCGTTCGGTCGTTCGTTCGTTCCTTGCCAGTGACATCAGACTTGATGCAAATGACGTCACCGGGTCTGACGACGTCATAACCTACTACTTTCGGAGATATAATTTCTTCTTTTTATTCCTTTTCTTTTATTATCTTTCTTTTTATCGACGAAATTTTTAAAAGGGTAAACTCACGTAGATTTTATAAAAGCTTTCTTCTCTTTCTCTCTCTCTCTCTCTCTCTCTCTCTCTCTCTCTCTCTCTTGTGATTAAAGAATAAATAAA